CTTTCTGCAGCCTTCACTTCAGGACGGCCGCATTTGCTTCGCTTCGGTTCTCAGCATCCGGAGGGGGCGGCGAGATGAGGTCCGGATGTGCATCATTAGGACCAGTCACCGTCCCAAAGGCCTCAATGTCACCGACGAAGTCAGTGATGGCCACCGACGAGGTCCCTTGACGGGAAAAATCTTCGACGAGACCCTGGTAAACCGGCCTCCACCATTCCAAGTTGGGGTCCTCATTAACGTCCCCTTCAAATCCCGGGATCTCGTCATCAGGAAGATCCTCGGCTAGTTCATTCTCCAGTAGCGGGAATTCGATGCCGGCACCACCCAACCTCTTCCGAACAGCCGCAACCGCCGACGAAAAGAAGAAACGAGCTAAACCTGAAGCTTCTCGGGTGAAAGTAGTCGAACGCCATAATCGGTGAAAGAAGCGACGAACGAACTCTTCAATAAAACGGAGACCCTCAGGCGACCCCGGAAACAGCCTTTGTCCCTCTTTCACCCCTTCGGCGAAATTAGTAGAAGCCTGTACTCCGGCTGCGTACAGCTCGTTGGAAAGTCCTTTGGCTTTTTCCTCTAGGCTGGTATTGTGAGAAACCAGGGAGTCTTTCTCCGCCTGCAAGGTCTTCTCCCTCTCCTGCAGCCTCTTCACTTCGGCAAACAGCCCCTCCTTCGACGACTCCGACATCGTCAAACTCTCCTTCAGACCTCGAACTTCTTTTCGAAGTTGAGTCACCTCCTTTTTTTGGTTGTCGTATGCCTCACGCGAGACATCATCCCACCCCAAAGGACCCGAGAAAGCGATGGCGAATTGCTACATGTATAAGAAATTCAAACAAGGTTAGCCCTGAATAAAAGATATGAAATTAAGGAATCGGTTCGCATGTACGAAATAAGACAAACCTGTGTAATGTTGTGGAGAAGTAGCTCGAGTCGGTCGCCCTTGCTCATCTGCCCGAAATGGGCAACATCAGTGGGAAAGGCTAAAGACCGACATGCGGCAATGGCATTCTCCGCGTTTTGGCAGAGATGAAGTCCGAAACCGGCAGGTAAGGACGACCCAGCCGGCCCAAGGGCCAAGTCAGTTCTCCGCTTCTTCGGAGCAGGCTCTTTTTCCAACACTTCTTCGGTTGAAGGAGGAGGTGGCGAGGAGGCCAGAACTATGGCAGAAGATCGCCGAGGAGGTTCGGAATCCTCAGCACGTGGCCCACCTCGGGAGCGAGGAGGCGCGGCATTTTTCTTGGGAGGCCTGGGTCTTAGAGCCCCTTCCTCCGAGGAGTGCTTCTCAGATTCAGCGACCAGAGGGCGCTGGAATTCGAACGCCTCGAACCCCGGCTCCGGCTCGGATGGACGAGTAGCCGGTTTGTCACCTCGGAACATCCTCTTCATCCTTAGATCTATCCACAAAATTGGAAAAAACGAGATAAGTAAATGAGGCGCAGAACAGATAAATACGGAATTAACGAGATGACGAAAACATGCATCCGAGATAACACAATAAACCGAAATAAAGACAGGTGTCGCGACCAAACCCACCTAAATCTTCCCGGGTTAAAGAATACGTGCCGTTGTCATGAAAATAGAAATGACGAAGCATCGGCTGAAAGCTGGTGAGGCTATCCGGGACACCGTAGCTCGGCTGGAAGTGAGATATCATTTTTAACAGACAGTCGTCAACTGCCAAAGGTTTCCCCCTTTTCTTCTCAGGCAAGGTAGCGAGCCAAGGGCATAAGTAGGGGGCATCGACGGGATTTTTCGCAAAAAAGTAATGACCCTGCCACCCGTCGGTCTTGTTAGGTGGCATTAGTATCTTAAAACCCGGACGGGCTGAGATAGAAACGTGAAAGGGAGTAGAATTCTTTAACACCATAACGCTCCGGAAACGAGCTGGTGTAGGAATTACCCCCGACCAGGCGCACAGCATGCGAAACCCAGTCATTATTATTATAGCGTGAGGGTGGAATTGGTTAAGGGACACGTTACATAGTTGGGCAATTTCAGAGATCCAAGGCGAGATGGGGAAAGATAGACCGAAGTAGAATTGCTCCGAAAACCAAGTGCTGAAACCTAAAGGAGGGTTTAAGGGGCGATCACTTCGCGAGGGTAAAACTAATTCGACATCAGTAGGAAGGCCTATGTCGCGGGCTAAGTTAGTGAGATCTACTTCGCTTAAAGTACTCGGTCCCCATTGATCATCTAAATCCCGTCCTTCAGATAGAGAAGGAGAACCACTCCTCGCGGAGGATGAAACCTCTTTTCTGCCCCTTTTCTTGGGTCGTTCCAAAAGTTTGCCCGAAGGGGAGAAGTAGGGTCCCTCCTCCGACGAAGAAGAAATGGAGAGGGTGGGGTGTCCGTCCCCCTCCCCGGAAGGCACTTTTTGGCCCGAATGGGTCAGGAGAGTAGGAAGACATAATCGATTTTAAAAAAACTAGGTAAGGGTAATAAAAGATCGGGGAAAGAAGCAATACCTTGGTCGAGGAAAAGGATAGGCGCGAGAAGTAAAAGCTCTGTTTCAGAAAACAAAATCACCGGAAGGGAAATCAAATAGAAGGGAGAGCACGAAGGTGAAAGGGGAAAAAGTTCTGCAAAACAAGTCAGTTGGGTATTTATAGGAGGAAAAATGAAGGGGAATTAGATCTCGACCGCCCATTCGGACGAACGAGATCAAAAGCAGGCCGCCTCGAATTCGATGCAAAAAAGCGCCGATTGAAATCCCCTCATTATGACCTAGGGAACTCGAATCGACCGCATGGATTGATGGGATAGCAGGAGGCGGGAAGCACGTATCCCCATAAAAAGTAAGAAATAAAAGCGAGCCCTTACTTCGCACCTTATACTCCATAATTATCAAACGAGATAAGGCAAAGCCTCCTCGCCTGATAATTAAGGAGTAGGGGGGAGTAGTTGATACGGGCCATTCTGGAAAGACCAAATGATATTAAGCCCACAATGATAGGCCCATAACAGCCTAGCCCGGTAAGGCAGAAGAGGTCGTTAGGTCGTACGACCTCAAAGACGAAATGGGGTACCTTAGCTCGCAGGCCCAGTATCAACACGAGATAGAACGAGCCCAGGATAATCAGAGGCCCAAAATGTGTGACTTGAGGGTAGGAAGAAACCCTAAAAAAGGAAACCTTGGAGGCCAAGGTTTCTTCATCTATAAATAGATGGATCTTCAAACACACGCAAGGGAGAATATACATTAATCACTATTACATTGCATACACATTTTTTCCTATTCCGACCACTGACTTGATCGTCGGAGCTTTCCCGCCGGGAACCCCTCCCGGCATTGCAGGTATTCTCACCGGAGTTCGGACTAAGTTGCTTCGAAGAAGAAGGAAGCCCCACAGACCAAATCAGATTCCTTCTATGCATATTATATGGACTGGATTTAGTGATTGGAAAGGGTTGCAGCTGAGCAACTGGAGTTCAAGAAACATAAATGAAAAAGTTTTCCCGTTCCATATTTCACTTAACCACTGCATAAATAGTTTCTTTTAGGTTATGGCTTCCATTTAACCAATTTCCTTTTCAATTTCAATCAACCTAGTTTCCTCAAACCTTCTCAAGACCTTCTTGTCCTCAAAATTGTTGAAGGCCATAATAATTCTTGGATGGATGCTATCAAACCTTCAAAAATTGGTCCTAGCATTCCCATTTTATGTTTTGCTGACGATTGTATAACCTTTTCCAAAACTAATGATAAATCTGTTAGTTTTATATTTACAACATTAGAAGAATTCGCTCAAGATTTTGGGCTTAGTATTAACTGGAGTAAATGTAAAATTTTCTTCTCCAAGACTCGGTGTAATATATTTACTAAATTCAGTAAGAAAACTAGTAATGAAAATGATAAGTACCGGGGGTTACACATGATTATAGGAAGGATTAAGAAAGAGTTTTTTTTTTTTTTTTTTTTTTTTTTTAAATTTTTTATATCATCCTTAAAACTCAAAATAAAATCAACACCTGATACAATAAGTTCCTTTCTTACGCTGACCGGAGTACTTTGATTAACTATGTCCTTAATTCCCTTTATAGTCATACTATGATTTCTTTCAAAATACGACGATTACTATTGAAAAAATTAATAGTATTGCGAAAAAATTCATGTGCAATGCCTCATCAAATACTAAAAAGGAAAACCCCGTGAAATGAAATTAAACTTATTTCACTTGTGTTTCGAATGTCCAATCTTTGAACCTATATATAAAAGAACTTCACGAGTCAATAATTTGGCTGATAATCATTTTTGTATTCTATTTTATAGAATTTCTCATAAATGCCTTGTTTGCAATAAAATTGTTGTCTTTTTTTGGCTTATGTGAAAGCTCGAAATGGAGCTATATATCTTCGAAATATAAATATTAACAACTTTAATATTTGGATCTCAGTTAACCAATACAATACACCCATTGCCAGCACCCTTCAAAGAAATACTCAAATATCTAAACTTAAATGGATCACTGTCCCGCTACACTAGTTCAAATTGAATATCGACGGTTCCTCCATTTCTAATCCAGGTAAAACCGGAAATAGTGGAATTGTTAGAAAAAATAAAGGCGAATTTATTTTGTGTTCCTTTGATCGTTGTACCTCCAAACATTGTACTAAGGCAATTTTTTTTATATTTAGATAAAAAAGAAAAAGTGATGAATGTATACAAAAGCTTTTGCAAATGCATGCCTATAGAAAAATAGTGTTAGGCAAATAAGAAAAAAAAAATAGTTAGGCTTAGGCACTTAGGCTAGTAGCTCCACCCCTTATTGAATACATACTACATAGACATGCCCCGGGTACATTTGATCAAATGGGTCGGGTCAAAGCATTTAAATTCAGCCCGTTGACTTTGTCAAAAGGCCCCAGACCGTTGGATCTGATAATAATCCAACGGTTCTATTTCCCCCCCCATTGAAACAACCCCCCCCCCCCCTTTTTTTATGTTTTGGGAGCGTTTTTTTTTGGCCTTTTTTTTTTTTCCCCCCCCCCCCCCCCCCCGCCACCACCCCCCCCCCTGAGCGATCCTGGCACCGCCGCCTCTTTAACCGTCCAAAGGCCGCCGCTGTATCGTGACCTCTCCCATCATTCATTACGCACTGCCGACGAGCGCGCATTTCGGTTTTCTCTCTTCCCGGAGTTCATCGTAGCCTCCGCCACCGTTCATCCTCCGCCGCAGCTTTCAGGGGGACGTTTTATCGACGGTTAGCTAAATTTTCGTCTTCGATGGCTGCTTAGTGATATTATACGATTTCTCTTCGTTCATTTTGTTACATCTGCGTTCGTAGTGATATTATACAATTCTCTAATTTTTTTTAAAAAGATCCTTGTCGATTCTCAATTGGTACGATATCGATTTTCTTGTTAATTTGGAGGATACTTTTTTTTTTCTCCCGAATTTATGGCCAAACTGAATTACGCTCTCTTTAATCTTGAAGAATTTTTAATTGCCATTATTGGTTGGTGTTTAGCTTTGATTTTTGTTAGGCGAGTAATTAATTAGGAGTTATTAGTATTGTAATTTCCCTTAATGTTAATATACATATTTTTTTCGATTGAAGGTTTGGGCAATTGCGGATCCAAACGACTGAAGCAGTTCATCACCGCAATGCAGGTGAACTCATAGTGCAGCTTTAATTGTCTTCATATGCAGCTTTAATTGGATGTATTGAGCGAGTTAATGTAATTGTTGATAGAAAGTACATCTTATCGTGAACTCGTCTGCTTTTCTGTGTTGAATTTAGTTACTAAATGTTGTATGCATTTCATTTCCCATGCTTTCTAGCTTTTCGGGGTAATTCTTGCATAGTTCTCATGTTTTGGTCTTTGGGTATAGCTTTATTCTTATTTAATAAAACATTTTTGTGTCAATTTTGGTACGTACTTCTCTATGAAACCTGGTTCTGGAAAATTAGGTTGGGTCAAGTTCACCTAATCCATAAGTCTTGTACCTCACCGGTTAAGGGTGAGTATGGTACAAACACACCCAATAAGGGTACTCAATGAGCTTTGTCAATTTACGGTAAATGCTTAACTTGTCTCAAAATTAATTTGGATTTGTTTTTTCTTTTAATCAGGGCTTTTTAGGTTATTCCTTGCTGGATGCTGAGCTGGGGATATAGAAACACGAATAAATATACGTATAAATTGGATCATTGATTGGTGGTGAGGAGCGGTGCTAGATACAATGCGGTTGTTTCCAGTTTCATCTAGCTTAGATAGTTCACCCACGGAGCAGAACAACACAGAGAAAAGTCAGGCGATGTTATACTTAAATGTATATGATCTCACTCCTGTAAACAACTACCTTTATTGGTTCGGACTCGGAATCTATCATTCCGGTATTGAAGGTATAATCAACTGTTTCTTTTAAATGCGATAGTTGAGTACTTCATTATGCACCTTTATATTTAGTCAAGCTAAACTTTCCTGATATTCATCTTTTACATAACATTGTTAGTATTATAGTCATTTATTACATTTTGACGAGTTTCGGCAAGTGTTTTGGTAGGAACATTATTAAATTCCTATAGCGGAATTTACATTTTTTTTGTACCAGTTGCATGATAGTTAATGTTGTAAGTAGCAGTGGATACTCTTCGCGGACATTGTATGATGCCGCACAATTGACAATTCCATGATTTAGAACTTAGTTAAAAACTTATTTTTCTTGAAGTTAAGAATGTAATAAAAAAAATGAGTTATGTGCTTTGAGATTGAGATGCATTTGGTTCTGTAACTTGGGGAGGTAACTGGTTGATGTATGGAAGATACTTTCATCAATAACTATGTGGCCATTAGTCTTGCTGATACATCTTTAGAAATATTATTATGTTAGGTTGTATGTGACAGAGCTACTTTATTTCGCTGTTTTGTGCTGCTATCCTACTTTCATTGTTGATGCTTCTGTGTGAAGACCACCATAGGATCACAAGAAAGAACCATTTTGCTTAGCTTCTGCTTTCTGGAGCACCATCAGTTACCTTGTGATTACTGATGGTTTATTAGGATTGGGACTTCGTCCTCGGTTGAAACATTTCTTGTAGGAACCCAATCAGTTATATAGTTTTTAGGCGGTTTCTTAAAATTTGAAAAGTTACATTGCCACACGTTATATTTTTTTGACTGAGTGCTGCCATAAGAAATTAGTCGACATTTATGTTACAGAAGGCCGTACGTCTAGTTTCTGATTTTCAAAACCCCGAAATCTGCTTTTAAAATGTTCACTGTTACATCCTTTTATGAGTTTATGTTCCATATTTTCCATAAACAACAGATTCTATGAGAAACAGAAAAAGAGATTCTGAATCCCATTGATCATAGTTCTTTTTTTTTTTGGCATTTATATCTTTGAAGCTATCAGAAAGAATCCTTGTTCGACATCCCAAGTACCTCTCAGTTATTTTAGTGACACAGATATATGACAGTGTCCTGTAGCACTGGTTTGTGGAGAAGATCCTTTGAGGTATTCGTGGAGCCAGCCACTTCATTTCTGTTATGTTAAACTTTTAAGTTAATTGAGTGATGTATCTGACAAACATGAAAGAATGGAATAGTGGTTAGAGTATGCAATATGTATTTGGGGTGCCTATTCTGATCTTTAGGGTAAAGATTCTTTAATGAGTTATTGGCAAGGCTCTTTCGATAGCCATTTTACTCTCATATATGTAGTTAAGTACCTCCGGGCTAATCATGTGGCTATTTGTTTTGACTGTTACGTAACAATAATTTATGTCATAGTACGTCTCAACAACTGTTTTTTCGTTCATTCAACTGTTTACAGTTGAATGTTGAATGATGATTGATGACATGAAAGTCATGTGTGAGTTCACTAGATACTCAAACTACTCACAGTTTTGTTTAGTCCCTTAAGCCTAGTTCTTTACTTTATAGTTTCAAGTAATTTTCTTTTGCGATATTTTACTTGCTGTTTCTCTTTTTATTTCCTTAGTAGTTTGCATCTACTTCCAGTTTCTGAATTAAAGCAGCATATTCATGGCTCCTGTTCTATAAACCAATTATATATTATATGCAACTAGGTTTCTGATATTATTTGTATCTAGAATCCTGAAATTGCATATCCATCATTATTAGTGCCATAATGTCATGCATAGTGTTACTGGTATTACTTGATACTCCTCAATCAAAATTTTAATTAATTGACGTGACAGAAATCTTCACAGGCTAAAGCTAAAGATTAAATTAGATGCTAAAAAGGGTGAAACAGAAGTTGATATATTAGGTAACAAAAGTTTGCTGTAGGGTATGATCAAATTGTGGAAAACCACTTGAGACCAATAGAACTCTTGGCATCATTTTCATTGGAAGCTTTTCTGTACATACTTGCATGCTTTTTTGTTTGTTTGTTTGGTTTTTTTTTTTTTTTTTTTTTTTTTTTTTTTTTTTTTTTTTGTGTTTTTAACTCTAATGCAATGGCATATTGATTTGGAATTTCTATCATCCTATAATATTATTAACTCACAAACAGTAATTAATGTAAAACATTTGTGGAATAGTACATGGCTTGGAATATGGCTTTGGAGCTCATGAGTACCCAACCAGTGGTGTGTTCGAGGTTGAACCAAGAAGTTGCCCAGGTTTTATCTTTAGGCGCTCAATTTTGCTGGGCAGCACCGAAATGTCACGTTCAGAACTTCGATCGTTCATGGAGCATCTATCCAACAGCTATCATGGGGATACATACCATTTAATTTCAAAGAATTGCAATCATTTCACTGATGAAGTCTGTGAGCGCTTAACTGGAAAACCTATACCTGGGTGGGTGAATCGATTGGCTCGAGTAGGTAAGAATGATAATCTGTTCTCGTACATAAATATCTGGAACAAAATTTTCGGTATGATGCCTATCACGGGCAAAATAATATCCTTTATGAGGATGCTATTTTATATATATATATATATATATATATATATATATATATATCTCAGTGTTATCTGATTAAAGACATTTTTTGGTACTTCTGAGCCATTTGTTGCCCATATTGCTTGCTTATCTTTGAATGAACCCCAACACCAGCATTCATGCATGAAAATTACAGGCACAGTAGAATAACATTTTTTTTCCCCTTACATAATATCCGATTTGAGTGGAATTTCTAATAGTCTTGTCTTACATTAGTCATCTTTAAATTCAGGTTCTTTCTGTAATTGTCTGCTGCCTGAAAGTATCCAGGCTACAACGGTCAGACATCATCCTGAAAATCAAATGTATTCAGGTAGTTTTCCAAATGTTATGTTCTCTCTGATTTGATGCCTGATTGTGAATGCCCAATAACCTTATAAATTTTCAAGAAATTCTTCTAAGAAAATATGGGCCGGACAATCGTTAACAGTTTTAAAATGTTATTTTCTTCACTTTATAATTGGTACACTGAATGTTTACTATGCCATATACAAGATCAGAGGGATGTGTAGCTCTTTCTGACAAATGCATTAATGAGTTGAAATCTTATCTTTTCTCAAATAACTAAATAGAAACGAACTACAAGGATATTTTACGACTTTTATGGAAACTTGTCGCTAGTAAAAGTAATTTATTAATATTTGTTTGTGACAGTTTTGGTTTGATTTAAACAAACGCGTGGATGATTTTGGTCAAAATAAATTATAAAAATATAACCAGTTGTCTAGCTTGTGTCCATATGATTCAGAGGGATATATATTATTTAGTATTTTTCTACTTAACTGTGTAATTATACTATTTGATTTTTTTTTTTCCGAAACAGAAGATGGAAGTGATTCTGGTGAATCGTCTGTAATAGGAGAGAGTGAAGGGGAGGATCTGGATCATCATCTGATAACCACACCAAACAGTGATGTAGCATTTTTGAAAGACAAACCAGTGAGGCTAGCAAAAGATGTTCTTTGATTTTCGTTATTTTTCTTTTCACAATGTTAAAACTCACTGGTTTTGTTTGTGTCTCGTTTGTGGTATTTTGTACAAGTAATGTGTAAATCTCTATAATTCAATAGCTAAACATCACCGAGTTGTTTCAAGTGCCTTTAGTCAAGTACATGTGTGTATCATTCGCTTAAATGTATGTTCGGTCTGACTTTGGTTCCGTTCTTCTTCTACCTGTTTGCTGCAGATTTTGTTGTAGAATTGTTTTTTTTTTCGTAGTTTAATGAAAAAATGTTGTAATAACTCCAGCCTGTCTTGTCTTGTAATTCAGTTATGTTGTTTTAATGATTGCTTTTCATATCTGAATTTTGGCGGGTGACTACTTTGTTTTCCTAGGAATTGTTTTCGGTTTATTTATGGGAAAAAAGTTTTACATTATGGTCTCGTATATTTTTCGATATTCATGTGATGATTTTGGAAATTGATCGAAGTACAGTTTATTTTCCTAGATTCTAAAGCTTGTGCACGAGATGCACCGGAATATTCGTCATTAATGTGTTAAGAATCTCACTTCAAGTGTTAGACTATGTGACAACTATTTGCTAAGGATTTTTTATTATTCAATTTATGGATCTGATCTGATGATTTATTGTTATACTGGGTCAAGATTTTTGATTATTCAATATATATATACATACATGTATAGATTCTTGAATCTTGATTGCTTCAGGACATGTTAGATTATGCAAATACTAGCATGTGTATTATATTATATATATTTTGCATACAATTATATGAAACTTCATTAGGTCAAGTTGTTACATCAAGAGGACCATTTGACCGAAAAATCGATGAACAAAACCCCTTCATTACATAACATCTTCGGAATACTTTCCCATAAAGAGTCTTGGTCTTGGTAATAAAGATACCAAAAATCCCATCTGCCAATAGCAACTTTCATTCTTTGCTCTCCCAACACTTCACCTTCTTTATTACAATCCCATCTCTTTTGCTTCTTACATCACTTTTTGTCTGAAAATTTCATTCTCTCTTTTCCACATGGATTTCTTCATCTTCATCAAACTCTTGTGCTGTGTTTTTCTACTTGCAAAAGCTTGCAATTCGACTATCGTTTCTTCTCCCGAAATACGGTCCCCGTTTTGGATCGACGGCCTTGATCATCCGAATCAAAGCAGTCCCACAGGGTTCAATCTATTCTGCAGAGAAAACAGAACAATGATCCATTTTCCCACTTATGGAGATTTGGTGGTCAAGTCAATATCTTACGAAACCAGAAGACTCGGTCTTTTGGACCCGAAAAATTGCGTTCATGAAGTTTTCTTGAATCTAAATCTCTCTCTTACTCCATTCAGTTATTATTACGATCTCAAACAGTACAAATACATCAACTGTTCATCCAAACTTGTCGGTTCTTTCGAACAAGTTCCATGCCTAAGTGGTACTAAACACCACGTGTACGTCGTGGAATCGTCTTTTTCTTCGATGCCACTTTCGTGTAGTTGTGTGAAAACCGTTGAGATACCGTTTTCGTACAGTCCGTATCTCTCTGATAGTAGTTTTGGTCTTGGGCTGACGTGGAATTCGATTGGCCTCGAAAATGGCGAAGAAGCGACCTCGTCTCGTTGTACGCTCGGTTTCCTATGTGAACGGTTTCCTATGCTCGAGAAATCTTTGAAAGGTACGTGAATTCTTGCTTTCGAAACATTTCGTTTCGTCAATTTTTAAGCAATTAATTCTTGAATTTTTTTTATTTTTTATTTTTTATTATTATAATGTTGTTGCAGCTTATATATAATCATATTTAACATGACATAATAACAAGTGATCCTTTTAATTAGATGATGGATGCCAACTATCTTGATTGTCACATTGACTTTTCCATTCTATATACTCCCTCCGTTCCTAAATATGTGTCGTTTTTCACCTTGGCACAAATCTTAAGAATCTCAATAAATACGTCTTGATTTTAGGAAAATAGATATTGATGGACCAAAATACCCCTGTTTATTAATTAATGCATGAAGAGTGCTATAGAGTATAATAAGGGTAAAATTGAAAAATAAGCAATTAATGCAGCATTGGAATTGTAAAATGACATATAATATGGAACAAAAAAAATTCTCAAAAGAGACAGATATTATGGAACAGAGGAGTAGTAGACTAGAGTACAGCAAAGGGAATGTGTATTGGTTTGACTAATTTTATTGGTTTACAAAAACTACCTAACTTTCATGTACCAGTTAGTAATTACCATTTATTTTGAAATCTATTAATTGTTATTCAAATTGTAAATATTAGATGAAATTAATATAGTTTTTTATTTTATTTTATTTTATATTGCAGTAGTGTCTCCTATTACTGCAAAACAAATATATATCCTGCTCAATTCACATCCCTACATATTTGATCTTGTCCATAATATAAAGTTTATATCAATTAATATTATCATAAACGAATTTACAATTTACATGATTTTGCATGTTTTATGAGCACAACTGTAACATACTTAATTATGCCTATAGCCTATAGGTAGAATTTTGTAAGAGGTCGGGGCGTGTGTAATAAGACTATTATAAGGTTTTTTTTTTGTTTTCATTATTTTTTTGGTAATGAAGGAACCCGCAGCCAACCATATAGGTCACTGAGTAAACCTACACTCTCGTATAATAGCTTGCAAACCATACAAGAGAGGTTTTTATTTTTATTTTATATATATATATATATATATATATATATATATATTAAGGGGATGGCTAAAATAAATACAGTTTCTTTCTCACTTCAATATCACCAAAAGTAAAACTAGAAAATAAATAGGTAATAGCGTTAATATCCTTAATAAAATCAATACTACACAAATTTTGTGTGTGATATTGATTTTCATTAATGGTAATAATGTCATTACCTATTTATTATTTATTATCTATTTATTTTTTACTTTTTATGTTAGTGGTATTGAAGTGAGAAAAAAACGGTATTTGTTTTACCCGCTCCCATATATTAATAATGAATTAAGGAACCCGTAGCACGCGCCAATCAGAAGTTAAGCAGCATTTTGTAAGAGGTCGGGGGTGCATGCCACCTTTTAGTGCGTGTGTTTTAAGACTAATATAAGGCTATTTTTTTTTTCATTAAGAAACCTGCAACCAAATATATAGGTTGGTAATAAAATTGTAAATTTTTGTGTTTCATATATTTCAATCACCCAACTGCAATGAATATGGACTTTTTATATATTCATGGTCAATGTATTAGTTAAAAGTAGTACATAAATGGTTGATTTAAAGGGTACAATACTAATGCATATTTTCTAACAATTGATGAATTTCCAGTATCAGCCCTAATCGCGAGCATTTTCATAGTCGGGATGCTTTTCTATGCAACTCGCTCTCGATATCGCAAAGAAGTTAATGCAAGAATGGTTCAAGAAACGTTAGGTGATCAGTTCGAGATTGAAGAATTACTGGGCGAATATAAATAATTATGTGGAGCTTTGAATTTAAAATTTAGTTGCATTTGTAGATGTAAGTAGGAGTTTATTACGTTTGACACTATTTTTATTCTAACTGTTTAAGAAAATTTTATGTTACTTTTATTAGCAAAAATCTTTTGTGATTCAATTGTGTTTGCACTGTGTTTTAGCAAACTATCCATTAAAAACACACTGTTTAAGAAGAATTTTTAATAATAAAGTTTTCTAGCAATTCAAAATAATAGGAGGCTTTTGGTGTTATATTCAAATGATTCGAAAAATGTAATATTTTGGGATAATGTATTTGTTCACTTATACATGCTATCGAATCTATATATAATATAAAAAGAGGATCTATGTCCTCAATGATTGACATGCGACAAATGTTGATGTCATACCTCCAAATTACTTAGTTGGAGTTCAATCGGTTATGTGACATCTCAAATTGATTAGTTGGCTTTTCATTTTTGATATGTGTTTAAGTTATTTCCTATTATTGGGGGGTCAAATTAAATTAGTACCAATGTCTAATTTTTTTTTCTTGGGGGGTCAACGGCCCCCCCATGCCCCTTGCAAGTTCCGCCAGTGGTAGCATCAATATCATCAATTAGAAAAATTTGATTATGTATCTTAGTTTTATATATAATATAGACTAGTATTCAGCCGTGCGATGCACAAGGGCGCTTTTTCTGAAATGAAAATATATAACTGTAGAACAAACTTAATAATTTATCAATTGTTACGCTCATTTAATATACACGAAAAAATGGAATTAAAGTTTTTCAATAATTGGAATAACTAAAATGGAATAAATATAAAACGTCATCGACCAGATATATTAAAAAAACAACACCACCGTTGTTGAACCAACGAACTCATGAAAAGCTAATGCTTCTAAATGATGTCTTCAAAAGAGTAGTTTACATATAGATTCCACTTACAAATTATCCTCAATTTCAATCATTGTATTTTGCAACGTCTGGCCTATCTCATCTACGATATTCTTGATGGGTAATATAAGATAAAATACAACAAAATTAAGCTATTTAATATAGAACGATTGCAATCAATAACTTCCAATACATCAATTTCAATATTTGATTACTTAATTTAATTATTTATAAGGAAAAGATTTAGACATATGTAATTCAGCAAATATAGATTGCAATATACACGGTTAAATAAATATTGGAAAAGATACGGACCAAGTAACGTGTAGTCTTTTCAGTAATTCTTTGTCATTTTTGTTTTTTCGCATTTCGTACGCTCGAAATCATGTTGGGGTGGAAGAAAATAATAATTTAATTTGTTATTTGCATCCTGGAAATAAAAAAAAAGCCAATAAAAAATTAAATTACCCTCATTAAGTTTTAAATATTCAATTCATGGTGCATTGTGAATGACTTATTGTGTTTCGAGGGTGCAAAATACTTTTCATTTATTTCAATGGTGCAAAGTGCCAAAATGCATATTTCAAGGGTGCAAAGTGGGATTAAGCCAATATTGAATGTAAATATAATTTTACTTATATAATTGAGATCCACTTCCATATTTGAGGCCCATCGATATTAAAAAATAAGTATATGGATTTTATCTCATTAGGTCCTTTGATTTGACATATATTTAGATGATTGTTTTCCGATTGCATACACACGGACAATAGACAATATATGCAAAATTTTGAACATTGTAGCTTTTATGATTCTGATTGGCCACGTTATTAGCCTTGATAACAATTTTGAATAACATTTTTCGATCAATTAACCCATCAAGTTCCATAGGATACTACGTAGGTTCTTCACTTTTCAGCGTATAAAAAATAAATAAATGGTAAAAACAAACTCAAGTGGTTGGTTTTAAAATAAGAATTATAAAGTCAAAAAATCATGAGTGCGTGGTGAATATAGCCTTTCTTCTACCGTGCGAATTAATGTATCGACATAAATATCTAGTATCCTTTCATCTTCTTACCCAAATACAATCAATGAAGCTGGATTTGTATCGTCCATGACAATGACTTCAACTTGAATACCTAGGTTCGTAACATTTTTTTTAGCATACCTATGTGGCTCCTATTCATCTTCAATGTGGCAGTCTGAATAGATGACGAAATAAGTACCGAATATAATTTTGTGTTAATGGTGTACGGTGTATAATTGAAATCTTTAAATTTGGGTAAAGATTCAATTAGTAATGTAAAGAAAATATACTATTGTAAACAAATAAAATATATGATTGTACTTAATATGCATATGAAATTGTGTGACTTTGATATAATAAAAATATTTTAGATAAATAGTTGAAACAATCATTATACAGTTGAATATGAATATTGCCATATGAATAAAGCAATTTGAAATACCTTACTTATTCGATAAAACACTGAGTAATCTTCACATAAAAGTTAGTTTAATGTACACTTATTTAGTTTGATTAATTGTTCAAAAATTTGGCTGTGACATGAATACGAATCATAAGCCAACTTTCGTCGAATCGTAGACTTATGCCGGAGTACAAATGCAACATATCCTACGTTTGTGCAAATTTTAACAGAAACTGATGTCAACACATTACTGATAAGAATATGTTAACCTTAAAAGTAATCAAGGTCAAGCATGAAAGTATATACATGCATATGAACGACTATATCAACCTGATTTTAGTGTATGCGTATTTCATTTTAATGCAGTGCAGCTAGTTCCTCGGAGTTTCAACCATTGTATGTATGTGATTCCAATGCAATGCTTCTTCAAACATCATTTTCATATGTTCGAAACGCTAAAAGGAACGAATGAAACAATAATCAATAAAATAAGTAATCAACAGAATTAACACAAACGATTACGAAACAATAAGTCAATCTGAAATTAAATTAAATAATTCGAATTACATTAAATTGCAAGAAAAAAAAAAAGTTATGTGAGAATGATGAAAACAAATAAAGTAATTAATGTAAAATTGCATAATTGTCTCTCAGTTATTTTAGTTACGGAAAATTGGATAATGGTACATTGATTTCTTTCCAAATCTTATTAACTTACTTTGTATTATATTTACATAGATTACATATGTTATATGTTATGCATTATCTTCTTACTATTATTTAATCTATTTAAATAAACAATATATTTTCGATCAATGATTGCGTTTATTATTATGTAAAATAACACCCAAGTTGACTTTTTTCATTTTTAAATATATCTTAATAAAAAATTACTATTAGTTAAGAAAAAATTACTTAATTGCCTTTAATTTCTTCGGATATAAATATATAATCCACCAATTAAAATGCACGAATTGACCATGTGTGCAATTAAAAGTGGAAAACAAGCAAACAATGAAAGTGCATAATTTTTCCATGTACCCAATCAAGATTTTATTAATTTTGTGTATATAATAATACTTTGTCACATGCTGAAAACCAACCAATTAAAATGCATAAATTGAAAATGTAAGCAATTCTAATTAGGTAAATGGACTTTTTTTTTTTTTAAGAAATTGATAATTAGGTGGTTGTTTATAGAAGTTGGGGTTTTTTGGATTTAATGAAACAATGTGGACCCAATGTCCCAATTAGAAAACTTTGATTGAGTATCTTACTTATATATATAACTAATTACCTATTTGTAAAACAAATTAAATCAAACACTACTATTACGCTCATGGAACATACACGAATAAAATACAATTAACGGTTTTCAATAATTTTAATTACTGGAACGAAACATATACAAAATATTTCGACCGACAATATTACAAAACAACAACTCCATTGTTAAACCAACGAACTGTCGAAATGATGTTTTCTAAAGAGAACCACGAACCGGCGTCAACACCAACCACAAATAGATAGTAGTCTGCACATAAATGACGTAAATTAAAAAAGAAAAAAATTAACCAATTATTTAAAGGAAAATATTCAAATTTCGCACAATCTATTTATATTAAAATTCAGATTATGGTACCATATTTAGGAAATGAAATATATATAATCCTCGGTTCCAACAATTTTGAAGTTCTTATAAGTACATTAATTTAAACATAAAATTAAAAAAAAATGACCAAGATGAATCAACCATCTTAATTATTGCGTGATGTTTCAAAATCCTTTCAAATTTCGTCTCCATGTCTGCAAAACATTAAAAAGTATAAGCAAAGTAAGTCATAGTGAAATATTGTAACAAAAAATATAAAAATTACAGCATACTGAAATTAATAAAAACAAAAAATGAAATTGAAAGACTACGAAAAATTAAGTGAATACGAAATAAAACAAAATAATTTGAATTCCTTTTTTTTGATAAGAAGCCAATTTTATTATTAGGCAAATATAGCCAAGTTCAAGGGAAGGAGATAACCTTCATAACAATTAAGGTCAGTAGCTTTTGCAATGGCATTAGCCAAGCAGTTACCGGTACGTTTGGCAAACGAGAAAATGCAGCATTGAAAAAGTGGTAAAACAGTAAGACAATCCTCAATAAAAATACCATAAGGAGCTGAAGTGGCCACACCTTCTTTAAGGGACTCCGTAATATGCAGACAATCGCTCTCAGTAATGATTGACTGCCACCCAAGTTCAATCGCAAGACGCATTGCAAGAAGGGCTGCGTGAGCTTCCCCAACGGCTGGTGGCGGTCTCCCAGGATGCAACTCTCTTCTCCACCTAATGCACTTGCCATTATGGTCGCGCGGTACCATAGACGTCATGTAGTAATCTTGGTCCGGAGGGAAAGCGGCATCAACATTAATTTTGATGAGGTCCGGCGATGGGGGTTTCCACTTTGATGGGTGGTCCTCCCTTGCGGTCGAAGGCTGTTGGAATTGTGCATGGCTATATGCATCAAGGTACGACTTACTCCACCTGACGATTTCTTCAGAGTTCATCATTGGTTCATTGTGCATATATTTATTCCGATTATCCCAGATTTTCCACATCACAATAATCGCCCACCGTACTAGATCCTTATCCAACGAGTGCATGAGATATTGTAGCCACATCCTGAAATTTGGTTGTTCAACTTGGTTTAGGTTACCAAACGGCGCCGACTGCCACAGTTCTTTCATTCCGCAACAATCATGAATAATATGGGATAGCGTTTCACATTTGTTGCACCTAGTACAAAAAGGCGATGAAAGAATCTTCCTAGGGAAAAGCTCAACGTTCGTTGGAATAATGTCAAGGCAAGCTCTCCATAAGAAAATCCGAATTTTTGGCGGAAGAGGTAAATTCTAAATTTTTTTCCAATCCATCTTCGGTTCACCGCTAGAACCTGTGAGATTAGCGTTTCCTTCCCTCTGGTTCAGCTGTCTTGGTCGGGCAAGAATATTGCGGTAACATGATTTGACCGAAAATTGGCCATTTGGACAGGAATGCCAAACGAACCGATCTTGTGCGTGCATGGTACCAATCGGGACAGCAAGAATTCTCTGTTTATCAATTGGCCAGAAGACTTCATCGATTAGAGCCACGTTCCATTTCCTAGTCAATGGGTCAACAATATCAGCAACTCGATTCGGAAATGGCGTGTTGATAGGTCGCTTCGTGAGAACCTTAAAATTGCAATCATCCACAATCCACGGGTCACCCCAAATTGCCGTATCTTGTCCGTTTCCAATTTTAATTCTCAGGCCACTTTGGAGATGAGGTCGGGCTGCCAAAATACTCCTCCACGTCGCCGATGGCCGAAAACCCATGTTTGCTGTGAAGAATGAACCATTGGGAAAATATCTCGCTTTCATAATCTTGGCCAGTAAAAGTTTCGGCTTAGTAACAATTCGCCAAGCTTGCTTGGCAAGCAAGGCCATATTGAAAGAACGCAAGTCGCGGAGGCCAAGACCCCCCTCTTCTTTAGCCAGACACAAATGCTTCCAAGCTAACCATGCCATTTTCCACTTCGTCCCTGACCCCCACCAAAATCGTCGAATTGCCGATTCAATTTCACCAAGGAGCCCACGCGGAAGTAGAAAGCAACTCATCGCGTAAGTAGGAATTGCCTGGAGCACAGCCTTTATTAAAACCTCTTTTCCGGCTCTTGATAGTTGTTTTTCACCCCACCCGGTAATTTTTGCCCAAACTCGGTCCCGAAGATAGCTAAAGATTTCTTTCCAAGTACGACCCATATTTGTTGGCATTCCCAAGTATTTTTCATGACGCTCCACCACCTTGAAGCCCAAGATTTGGCTCAAAACCTCTTTCGTAGCTTGAGGCGTTGTCGGGCTGAAAGTCATAGTCGACTTCTCAAGGTTCACCTCCTGGCCAGAAGTTCTTGCAAACAAGCTCAAGATTTGTTTTAGTTTCATGGACTCCGATTGAGAGGCTTCGCAAAATAAGAGAGTATCGTCCGCGAAGCATAAATTCGATATAATGGGGGCCGAGGGAGCCACTTGAATTCCATGCACCTCTCCATTATCCACCGCCCGGTTCACTGCAATCAATGCCTCCGCACAACATATGAACAAGTAAGGGGAGAGTGGGTCTCCTTGGCGTAGTCCCCTTGTTGGGTGCACTGAACCGAACTGAGAGCCATTAAAAAGGAAAGCATATGAGACAGAAGAAATACATAACATAACGAGATCAACAAACCCCAAATGGATACCTAATCTAGCAAGAATTTTTTTCAAGAAAATCCATTCAATCCGATCGTATGCTTTACTTATATCAAGTTTAATGGCCATATAATCCTTGCATCGACTAGAATGAGACTTAATGAAGTGGTTAATTTCGAACGCAACAAGAACATTATCAGTGATCAAACGTTTAGGAACAAAAACAGATTGGGTAGGGGAAATGAGGTCATTTAATACAGATTTTAGCCGATTCGCAATCACTTTCGACCCAAATTTATAAATAACATTGCAAATTAAAGGCTAATGGGTCGGTAATCAGTGATTTTTTCAGGAGTTTTCACTTTAGGGATTAAGACAATATATGTGAAATTCATAGGAGAGGGAATGATTTTTTCATTGAGGAATTCCAGAACACACGACACTACATTAGCACCTAAAATGTGCCAATATTTAGTATAAAAAATAACCGGTAAGCCATCGGGACCCGGGGATTTGGTAAAAGGGAGGGTTAGCTTCTGGGCGGCATCACCCGAAATCCGAGGTTCAATGCACTCCAACACCTCATCTATCTCAATAACACTTGGATCGGTGGACTTGAAGATTTCCTCGAAATAATCTGAAATCACTTTTTCGATCTCCTCAGGTTTATCTCTCCAGAAGCCTGAATTGTCTTTAATTTTGTTAACCGTATTGATCCGTTTCCTCGTAGTGGCCTTTGCATGGAAAAAACTCGTATTCCTATCCCCCTCGCGAACCCATTGAACTTTGCTTCTTTGACGCCAGTACATATCGGTATCAACATAGAGATTCTCTAATTCCGCTTGCAACTCTTTCACCTCCGCTTTGTTCTCTTCTGATATAAGTCCTGATTTAAGCACTTTCAACTTTTTTCTAATTTCTGCAATTCGCATCTGGGGCTGTTTAACGGTGGTTTTGCTCCACCTGAGAAGAGCAAGCCGACATTCTTTGGTCTTGGTCAGAACTTCTTCAACCGGGTTAAGCTCACTATTCCCCGTCCACTGTTGTTGAATAATTGCTTCACAATCTTCTCTTATAATCCACAATGCTTCAAAGCGAAATGGTCGTCGCCTTCTTGTCGTGTTCCTCGTATTAGTATTATGGGAAAGTAATATTGGACAGTGATCGGAGCCTGGGTAATCGAGATGTGAAACTTGCGCCTGGGAAAACATGGAAATCCACTCTGAATTTGCACAAACTCTATCTAGCCGGCACCGCACAGTGTAAGGCTCGTTTCGATTGTTCGACCAAGTAAACGGATCACCATTGAAACCAATATCAGCCAACCCACAATCAACTAAGGTATCCCGAAAAGCTCGAATACTGGCCGGCGACTTTTGAGGTCCTCCTTTCTTCTCAGCGTTATCAAGTATTTCGTTGAAGTCACCTCCTACCATCCACGGCAAATTATTTTGATGCTGCAGAGTTCGAAGAAGATTCTAAAACAAAAGTTGTTGCGTGGGAAAGATGAAGAAAATAAATGTGCTGAATGACCATTTTATTTTTGGGTAAATGACAAGTAGGCCCATGACTAGGGCACTTAATTAAAAGAGGGACATCCAACTTTTTTGTCTTTCAAATAAATGTAGCCCATTCAAACTTATTTGCAAATAAGGAAAATCCCTTTATATATGCCAAAATTACCCCCAATTCATTGAAACCCAATTCAACTCCAATTTCATGATTTACACCCAAATTTAGCCCAATTTCATCAATTAACCAATTTTAACCCTAATTTCAATTTTGACCCGCCACCACCGGACACCGCCGGTCGCCGCCGTTGACCGACGTTGACTTTTTTATTTTTATTTTTATTTTTAATTTTTTTTTCCTGAAATTTTTTTCCGGCAGGTCAACTGCCGTTGACCGCCGGGTCTCCGGCGTTGACTTTTTTTTTTTTTTTTATAATTTTGTTTTTCTTAAAAAAAATATTTTTATTAATATTACTGTCTTGGCTCCTAAATTACTGTCTCCGGCAGTTATTTAACTGTCGGAGACAGTAATTTAACTGTTAATTGACTTTTTTTTTTTTTTTTTTTTCTTCAAAAATATTTTAATTAATATTACTGTATTCGTTGCTAAATTACTGTCTCAAGCAGTTATTTAACTGTCGGAGACAGTAATTTAACTGTTAATTGACTTTTTTATTCTTAAAAAAAATACTTTTAATTAATATTACTGTAATCGTTCCTAAATTATTGTCTCCGGCAGTTATTGAACTGTCGGAGACAGTAATTTAACTGTTAATTGACTTTTTTTTTTTTTTTAATTTTTTTCCTTAAAAAAAAATATTTTAATTAATATTACTGCCTTGGATGTTAAATTACTGTCTCCAACAGTAATTTAACTGTCTTAGACAATAATATTAATAATATTACTGTTCGGAAAAATAATATTCATAATATTACTGTCCCAAACAGTAATATTACTGTCTGAGACAGTAATTTAGTAGCCAAAACAGTAATATTAATTAAAATATTTTATTTCTAAGAAAAACAATTCAAAAAAAATAAAAATAAAAAAAAATAAAGTCAACGCCGGAGACCGGCGGTCAACGGTGGTTGACCGGCCGGAAAAAAATTTCAGGAAAAAAAAAAGTTTCGAAAAAAAAAAAAAGTCAACGCCGGAATCTGGCCGGAAAAAAAACATTTCAGAAAAAAAATTATTTTCTGAAAGAAAAAAGTTTTGGGGTTAATGTGATATATTTGTTTAAATTCGGGGTCAATGTGTAATATTAAGGAAGTTAGAGTATAATGGGTGGAATTGATAAGAATTAAATTATTGAGGGTATTTTAGACTAAAGACATGGGGATGTGCTTAATTGAGAGACTGTTTTTTTTGTGGACCAAAATGCATTTAAGTCCCATGTGATGGGCCTTTTTGCCATTTGCCCTATTTTATAATGGAACAACAAATCAATTTAGTGATTTGATAATTGATACATATATATGATATGTATTGAAATCAAATAAATATATTGAAATTTGATTATTATTTGTTATATTGGTACGTTAATGTGTAGGGTATGATTTGATAGTTAGTATGCGGATCTTTTTCCCACAAATTATTGAAGGACAATTAATACATTTTATCATGAATGTTAATCTATCTTTTTTTTTTTTTTAAGAAAAGATGATGAATATTATTAGGCGATAATGCCAAATGGGTAGGAAGTGTAACACCTTCCGTGCAAGAGTGACCATAATATTTAGCTATCGCATGGGCCAAACAATTTCCCGAGCGTTTAATATATTCAAAACAACAAGATGAAAAGGAAGACGCAATCACAATACTATTCTCAATGTACGCACCAAAGGATGCCGAGTTGACGGAGCAGTCCCGTAGGGTTTGGATAGCCGAGAGATTATCACCTTCAATGATAACTTTGGGCCAATCAAATTCTTTAGCTTTTACCAGAGCTCGGAGAACCGCATGAGCCTCTCCGTCTATCGCCTTTGGACGTCCGGGAATTTTATATGCAGCCCACCAGACACATTTACCACTATCATCTCGAGCAATGCACGCTAGGGAGTAGAATGTTTCTCCCACCGGAAATGCGGCATCTACATTAATTTTTATCACTCCTTTTTCCGGTGGCTTCCAATGAGCTGGATGACTTCTACTCCGAAGCTGAAGGGGTTTAGTCATTCCCTGCATAAACTCCGCTAGATAGGAAATGCTCAAGCTCTAGACCTCGTTTAACGGGGTCCCGTTTTCCCTGTGGGTTTGCTTGTTCCAATTGTCCCACAGCTTCCACATAGCTATCACCACCAAACAGACTTCATCAACTTTCAGCTCCTTGAATAAAAAGTCGACCCAACCCTTTGATGATGCCATTTTATCCTCTGCGAATAAAGCCGGCGGAAGTGCCCTCCAAACCACCTCCACCCCGCTGCATTTGGTGATAATATGGAGGAATGATTCGTGAGCAGCTCCACATTTGCGGCAGCGAGGATCTATGACAATTTTTCGACGGTACAGTTCCAAGTTAGTCGGCAAAATGTCGGAGCATACATGCCAAATGAAGATTTGGATCTTCGGAGGAATAGTTAGCTTCCATATTTTCCACCAGTCGAAGTGTGGTAATCCGCTAGTCGAAGGCCCGTCTGCCCCACGATCATGCTGGAGCGGCAAAATAGACGTCAAAATGTGATGGTAACAAGAGCGGACCGTAAACTTACCATGATTTGAGAACCGCCAGACCCAACGATCTTCAACTTGAGGGCAACCGATTGGGACTACCATTATCCGATCCTGATCCGCCTGCCAAAAATTATCTGCAATAATTTGGAGATCCCATGAGTTCGTCAACGGATCAATAAGGTCCGACACTTTATTCGGGAAAGAAGAATCATTTGGTCTCCTCGTAAAAATCCTAAAACAACCATCCTCCATGAGCCATGGGTCTGCCCAAATGGATGTAGACTGTCCGTTTCCCACCCTCCGACGAAGCCCTGACAAAACATGCTCTCGAACCGACCATATGTTCCTCCATGTTGCCGAGGGTCAATAGCCCAAATCTGCGGAGAATAAGGAGCCATGCGGGAAGTATCTTGCTTGTAATATTCGAGATAGAAAAAGCTTAGGTTCCGTCATGATTCTCCAAGCTTGTTTAGCAAGCATGGCCAAGTTAAAGCACCTCATATCTCTAAACCCTAGACCGCCAAGATCCTTGGATTTGCACACTTTTTCCATGCAATCCATGACATTTGAGGCTTCGATCCATTTCCCCACCAGTATGCTTGAATTGCCGACTCAATCTCCCGGAGAAGACCTGATGGGAGCAAATAACAACCCATCATATAAGTAGGGATGGCCTGGAGAACCGCCTTAGTGAGAACCCCTTTGCCCGCTTTCGAGAGGTATTTTTCACCCCACCCATTAATCCTTGCCCAAATACGTTCTCGAATAAAGCTAAATATTTCCCACCTCGTCTTGCCCAACGCTGTCGGCATGCCCAAGTACTTCTCATGCTTATCGACCACCTCAAATCCTTAAGTTCTCTGAATTGCCTCTCGTATAGCCGGTGGTGTTGACGGGCTAAACGATATTTTAGACTTCTCATGATTAATCTCTTGTCCCGATATATGCGCATATTTGTTTAAGATCTCCCTCAGAACAGTTGCATCAGTCTCGGCAGCTCGACAAAATATAAGAATATCGTCGGCGAAGCATAAATTAGATACCATTGGGGCCGATGGCACTATTTGAATACCACGTATACCACCACCACTACTCGCCCTTTGTAACATTGCAATTAGCGCATCCGCACAACAAATTAAGAGATAAGGTGACAGAGGGTCGCCTTGCCTGAGGCCTCTCCGAGGTTGTAAAGCCCCAAACTGCGAACCATTGAACAAAAACTCATATGAGACAGTGAAAACACACAGCATAATTAGTTCTACCACAGAAATTGGTAACCCTAAACGACGTAAAACGTTTTCCAAAAAAGGCCATTCAATCGGATCGTAAGCTTTACTAATGTTAAGTTTGATAGCCATATAGTGAGTTTTGCCTCTAGTCCTAGATTTAATGTAGTGATTGATCTCATATGCAACTAGGACATTATCAGTAATAAGCCGTTTTGGGACGAAAGCGGATTGAGTGGGGGAAATCAGATCGTCTAAGAAGGGTTGAAGCCGATTAGTAATAGTTTTAGAGCCAAATTTGTATATGACATTACACAAGCTAATAGGGCGAAATTCCGTCATTTTCTCAGGTTTTTTTACTTTAGGAATAAGCACGATATATGTGGAATTAAGAGTAGGTGGGAGATTCTTATTATTGAGGAAATCGAGCACACAAGAAATAATATTTGAACCTAAAATGTGCCAATATTTAGTGTAGAATAAAACAGGCAAACCATCAGGGCCCGGAGATTTAAGATGAGCCATCTGGGAGATGGCTCGAGTTACCTCCTCCGAAGTGAAAGGGTTGGAAAGGGTATGGTAGGCCTCAACGGAAACTCTCCCTCCTAAGTGCTCCAACACCTCGTCAATCTCTTCGGCTCTTGGATTTGTGGTTGCAAAAATCCGCTCGAAATATTCTGACACGACCTTCTCAATATCCTCCATTTTCTCTTTCCACACCCCTGTATTGTCTCTAATACGATGGACATAATTGCGTTTATTACGGGTAGTAGCTTTGGCATGGAATAATTTGGTATTTTTGTCTCCCTCTCGAATCCACTGCACTCTACTGCGTTGGCGCCAATAGACATCGTTATCCGCATACAATCTTTCAAGTTCAACTTTCAAATTTTTAATCTCACCCATTACACCTCGGTTTGGACTCCATTACGGAGATCGTGGAGTTTTCGTTGGACGTATTTGATTCGCTGTCTCGAAAGCTGAACTGAATTTTTACTCCAACGTCTCAAGGCTACTTGGCAATCTGCATTCTTACTAAGTAACTCCTCTATCGTATTTGAGTAACCATGATCATCCCATCTTTGTCGGATAATATCCTCGCATTCAGTCTTTTGAACCCACATAGCTTCAAAGCGAAAGGGACGCTTCAACTTGTATCTGATAGGTGGAGGGTTCTCATTAATCGAGAGGAGAATGGGTGCGTGGTCAGACCCTTGTTGACTAAGATGATTCACCCGGGAATGGGGAAAAAGACTGCGCCACTCGCTATTAGCACATACTCTATCCAAGCGACAACGAACCGTGTAAGAAGATACTCGGTTGTTGGACCAAGTGAACGGATGACCCTCATAACCTAAATCGGATAAATTGCAAAATTCCAAAGCAAGACGGAAGGCTTCGATTTGGCTTGGTTGCTGTGTGTTGCCTCCTCCCTTTTCCATATTGCTTAGAATTTCATTGAAGTCTCCACCCACCATCCATGGCAAATCCATGACAAGACGGAATGTTAATCTATCTAGATATTATATATTCATATTTATATATATTATATAAAAAGAAAATTTATAGCCTCAATGAATGACAGTGTCAAATTGCTTATGTCATTTGCTCCAATTGTTTAGTTGACATTCAATTGATGATGTGTAATACACAAGTTCACTAATCTTAATTTATTTTTCATCTAATTCAAGCTTACAATCATCTAACGTATAATCAAAATATGGAAATGCATAACTATTTTTTTTTAATCCATCTATACAATATATGCGGATCATATTTTTGCGTGTTATACAACATCGCAGGGCTTCTCTCTTGCCAATGTCGCCGCATATAACACAGACGATGCTATCCATAGATCTGAAAAAAAAGAGCAAAAAAGCAACACAAACATAAAGTACATTGTTATATATACACATACATAATAAATGAATAATATGATAAATATTCAACGACAAATAAAATGCTTCAAGCGAACGCATCCAGAAATACTGATTGCATTATAAATTTACAAAACAAAGTTTTAGAATGAGGACATTAGTTTAGACACATGTCATTCATTGAGATTATAATCCTCTTTTTATATAATATATGGATAGATTAAATCTTCCATTATAAAATGTATGTCTTCAATTTGAATTCTGATAATTTACATTTAAAATCGTTATTTTAAATATTTATATAAAAAAATATCTAACTAACCCCACCATATAAATAGAGTGAGTAACTTCCCTCATTTTTACTCAAAAAAAAAAAAAAAAAAAACTTCCCTCATTTCCGCAGAAAAATAATCAAATTTTGGATAATTATACAAATATACATAAATCAAATAAATTAAAAAAAATTAATATGAACTGTTATATAAAAAATCATAATTGGAATATTATTTAATAGGGGTAATATGCTAGGTGTCCCTCAACACAAACTTATTTTGATGTAGATGACAACCTCAAACAAAATATCTTAACTAAATCCTTAGTTCAAAATCAAATTTGACCCACACCCTTTTATTTTTGTTTAACCCAAAAATACTCTTGATATAAATAATAAAAGATTAGGTTTATCTCTCATTCCTCTCATTCTCTCTTCTCACGGTCTTTCTTTTTCCATTCGCCACACCCCAATCTTTTCTCTCTTATTTTCAACCGTTCCACCTCTCTCTCTCTCTCTCTCTCTCATATTTTTTGTCGTCCAACCCATCACATTCTCTCTCTCTCTCTTGCAAATCGATGGGTACAGACCGAGGATTTCACTGCCACCGCTGCCGAGATCTGAAGATTTTGAGGATCCATCCAGATCCGTCGTCGAGCAGTAGAGTAGAGTGAAGGAGGCGATGCATAGATCTGAAGATCTCGAGGTTCTTGGAGACCTCGGCGACGGTGCGGTGGAGGGAGAGGGTGTAGAAGAGGGCAACGGAGGTGGGTCTATGGCGATGGCGGTGGTGGTCGTGGTTATAGATCAGGTCATGGTTATGGTAGAGGTGGCCATTGGAGATGGTGGTGTGAGGTTAGATCGATGGTTCGAGGGGATTGCATCAACCTAGGATTTTTTTACGGCGCTAGGGTTTTGGTTGACGGCTAGGGTTGGGGGATAGTAGTTGGCGGCAGGCTGTGATTTGTTTGCTCTAGGGTTTGCCGACGGCTGAGAATTTGTTTTGATGCTAGGGTTTGGAATATTACGCCGTAGTAAGCCATAGTATACCGTAGTAAATCATAGTACACTGTAAACTATAGTACATGGTAGTATATAATAGTACACCAAAGTCTACTACAATATTATTAACAACAGATAAAATTAAAACAAAATATAAAAAAATATGTAAATTAGATTAAAAAATAAAAAAAAACATGTTTTTGTTTTTGTAATTTTCTATATTATATAGAAAAAAGGAATTTTTGTTTTGTTTTATATTAGTGTATGAATTAAAATAACAAAGAAAAAACGAAAAAAAGAACAAAGAAAAATGTATTTTCTTTAAATAGAAAATTAAAATATTAGATGGAAAAATGAAAATATTGCAGACTAAAAAGATGATAAATGCAATATGAATTTTAATTAAAGTCTATTTCAAATTTGTGAGTGGGGGCATTTTTAGAATGGATTTTATAAATGATGTGTAGCAAAGATTTAGTTAACCTTGTCATTTAGTTATAATAAGAGGGTGTTTGGCTAAGCTTATTTAAAACAGCTGATAAGCTCTTACGTCTGATAAGATGTTTTTTGAGCTGATAAGCTGTTGCATCCAATGTTTTGAAAACCGGACCGGACATTGAACCGTACCACCAAGTGGGTCGTGGTTGGACCGGTTCAACCGTGGTCCGACCGGGTTTTTTCATCTTTTTATTTTTAATCATTTATATATAATTCTTATAGTTTCTAAAATACAAAAATGTCAAAAAATATACGCAAAATTATCTATTCATCACCAATATAAAATATATCATAAATACCAAACAATAAATTAATAATCCTAATTTATTTACCACATATACATTTATAGAGAGTAAATTAATAATAATAATTCTGATATGCATTAATAGAGATTAAGACTTCTATGTAAATTACTAAATACACCCCCACTTACTCAAGCCCTAATATGTGATTTGCGAAGACTACCTCATCTTCTCATCTTCTCTCCGCCGCCCACCCTATTTTTCTCCCCTGCATCATGTCCTCAATCGGTTCTTCAGCTTCTATTTAAAATATTATTGATTTTTTTTTCTTTTGTTTCTTATCTTCTCTTCTTTCTTTCTTAATCCCCCACCACGATTTACAGTACCTTGTACTAATCTTGTGGGGAACCTCCTTCAAAGACCCAACTTTCAATATAAGAATATAAAGATTTTCAAAATTTTTCTCAGATTTTGTTGGTCATTCTATTGCATCAACCCGGTTTTTGGGATCGGTTTTCACCGAGTTTATCCGGTTCAACCGGGATTTCCGCGGTTCTCAAACAACTGAACCGGTTTGTTCACACTTTCGGGTTTTTAAGTTCAACCGGACCGGATCTAGCACCGGTTCGTGGTTGAACCGGTCGGACCGGCCGGTCCGGTCCGGTTTTCAAAACATTGGTTGCATCTTATTTTTAGGATTAATTTTTAGAGTGATTGGATAATGAGCTTATTTTCTATTTTTACACATTATAAGATCTTAAATAAAAAGGTGGGGTAGATGTACTTATTTAAAAAGATCTTATTTGCTCTCCAACAGCTTATTTTTAAAAAAATTAAGATCTTTTTATAAAAAATTACCAAACACTTTGGAAGAGCTTATAAGGTCTAAAATATCTTATAAGCTTCTTTTAACATTTTATAAGCTTAGCCAAACACCCTCTAAGTTTTCTCACTAGGAACCTATATCTTAAGGCCCCTATTTAATAATAAAACATACAAATGCAAATAAAAAATTATATGCAAACCGTATCGATGTAGTGCGTAGGACTGAAGTGTTGTGAACAATGTCTGCAAGAAATACATTAAGAAAAAACATTAGCATAATTTATTAATTAAAGGGTAAATTACACCCACACCCTGAGGTATACTTCAATAATTTTAAGGTCCCTATGGTATCGATAATTACACTCACCCCCCTGAAACGTAGTTAGAAACACTAACGGGATAATGCATTGGATACAATATTCCGATAGGCTTCTAATGGACTATTACTTTTAGCTAGTGGTTGAGATAACATAGAGTTATGGGGAGTTATGAGGTGACATGGCTCCCCCAATATTTCTTGAATCATCCATAACTCTTTGTTGTCTCCACCACTTCCTGAAACCAATAGTCCGCTAGAACTCTATCGTAATAACGTATCAAATGCATTATCCCATTAGAGTTTATAACTACGTTTCAAGGGGGTGAGTGCAATTATCGATACTACAGGGACCTTAAAGTTATTTAAGCATACCTCAGGGATGTGGGTGTAATTTATCCTTTATTAAATAAAAATATTAAATGAAATTAAAATTTCTAAAACATATGAATACATAAACATATATAAAGAAGAATAAATGTAATACGATAAATGCACGAAATCAATTGAAGAAAATTTGAACAAAAAAACTCGAATGAATTGTCTCAAGAAGGAAATGATCGGGTGAAGAAATGGCTCGGGTTTATATAGTTTACTTTATGATACATTAGTTAGGCAAATTTTAGAATTCAAATTTTAAATAATTCTAATATGGGCAGCAAGATTTGAATTGATTTGATATCTTCATATCAATTCGGATGATTTGATTTGTCTTGATTATGCATTAATTTGAAGAATATTAAACAATAATTAAGGTTGATTAGATATTTTCCGTAAATTAATCATATCAATTAAATTTAATAATCTTAAATAGGTAAAAATAAATAAAATCCTATACCATAAAATCGTAAAATTGATTTGTAATTTATGGTAATAAGCAAATTAAAATTAATTTATAATCCAATAATTAATGATTATATTGTATAATTAATGATTTTTTTTAGATCGTTTTGTTGAATAACATTTTAATTATTTTGAATTCTATTTTATGCATAAATGTTTTGAAATAAGGTACAAAAATAAAGAATACAAAATGTAATAATGATTAGTTAAGAGAAGAAGTCCAAAAATAAAATAAATGTTGGGTCAAAATTGGAGATGTGAAAACATCAATTGTGTACCTTGACTTTATAGATTATATAGATGTTATGTAGGAAGGAACTTAAAAATATGCTAATAAAATGCCAACTAAGCAATTGGAGCATATGACATAAGCAATTATGTGTCAATAGGTGTCATATGGATAAAAATGAACCAATGAAAATGAATATTTCATCCATGTATGCAATTGAAAAAATATAAAAATTAATCAACTAATCAAAAGAAACGATTTGACACATAGGCAAGAGATATTTTGAAATTGAATACAGGGAAAGTAATTAAATTCGGATATGTAATAAAATAAGAACAT